ATATGCTATAAAACATTCTGCTATATGACAAATTTAATAGTATATTGTAGTCTAATTCTTATAAGAACCCAAATGTATCTACAACATTGGTATTCACTTCTATAATAAGAACAATTTCTCTTCTTTTTCTCTCTTGTAAATATTTACTTCTATAATAAGAACAATTTCTCTTCTTTTTATCTCTTGTAAATATATATATATTCCTTTAATATTGTGATTGAATGTAAATAATTTATTACATAGCACAATACAAACTAGCATAACTAGAGACCTAACTAAAAAGTCTACTAAGATTTCTAGTAGGTCTCTAGCCCGCACTCTACAATTATTGTAAATATACTACACATAAATTTATTGTACATGGGGAAAATTTTTAAAAATAAATTAAAAAAAAATAAATCAACTTGACATTTTAACTCTGAGGAAGATCGTAGTCAGCGACCGAAAATTCAGTATGCTCATTATATACTTATTATCTTTTTAATTGTAAATAGTAGATCAAATACAGAAATAAGGAAACCATATGCATGAGTATATATATATATCGTAAACGTGGGAAACCACAACATTCACATACAACATTGCCAGACTAATAGCTGGCTATACGCATTGAAGGACTAACCTCCGAAATGCAACTAACATCATAACTTAACAAGTCGTTCTCAGCTTGACCTTGTAGCTCAGAAGGTAGAGCATCGTTCTAGAAATGCGAAGGTCGCGGGTTCGAATCCCAGCCGCGGTCAAGTAGAATTTTCTGCTTGCCCGGTTTGGTATACACTCGTCTGAAAAACAACTCAAAAACCGCTACATAACGTTACACGAGTGGAATCGTAAACGTGGGAAACCACAACATTCATATATATATATATATATATATATATATATATATATATATATATATATATATATATATATACCAAATATGTATTTAGAATCATATATGAGTAGAGTGCTCATATATATATACCAAATATGTATTTAGAATCATATATGAGTAGAGTGCTCGATATACCGAAGTATAGAGCTAATATAGATAAAGATAAAATAAACCTGGTTTACTTCATAAGATTTATTCACTACAAACTTGTTTCGTATGACAAGCAATGCTTGCCACACTCATCAGGTGAATTTAAATCCACCTGAGTGTGGCAAGCATTGCTTGTCATACGAAACAAGTTTGTATAGTGAATAAATCTTATGAAGTAAACCAGGTTTATTTTATCTTTATCTATCTATATATATATATATATATATATATATATATATATATATATATATATATATATATATATATATATATATATATATATATATATATATATATATATATATATATATAATATATACATATAATATATACATATATATAATAATACAATTAAAACAATATTAACACTATATTTTTCACTATATAATTATATATATACAGTGTCGTGTCTATATGTATTCAGATTTCAGATCTTGTTCGGCAGTACATCACATGCATGTCTCCGTAAAAAGAACAAATATATGATATTACAATTATATAGTATATATAGTAATGACAATGTTTGAAACTTTACCAAATTATTTTCTTTTCCACTGAGCATTGTAAATATCGTTTATTATATATAAGGTTTATTATAAGGTAACTTACAAATGGGAAGTATATTTCGGTGACCTGCAGCGCCAATATATAGCTTTTGATGGATTTCGTGACAATTAGATACAGTCTGCTAAAAAGTATTGTTTTCGAATTCATTTATTTATATCTCCCTGTTCTCCTCTTAATGAACGGAAAGGAAGTAAATTTTTTTCGTCGAGAAGTATATTTCGTTTCAGCCTATTCGTACGCATTGTCATGTTATAATTGATGCATGAGCGTCTGTTCTTCACAAGACATATTTAATTCACAACACCGAACGAAGTAAATCAAGCGGTCGTATATTCTTGTTTCAAATCGCGAACGTGAAACTGCATCGACGAGCTGCCGTTCATTGACTTCGTGTTGTTCAAAATCCGGTTGGCATAACCGTGGATCAACGTGAATTAAATTCAAAGCATATATATACTTCCTATAGCAGCTTTTCTGTGAACTTGCGAGCGGGAAATATTTCTTTTAGAAATCTTCTCTGGATCATATTAAATCGAATTAGTTTAATTTTCTAAAGTCTTGAAATAAACAGACGTACAAAAAAATTACCGATAAACCAAAGCAATGGGTAAAATTTAATTGCTATATGCTTTAATTGAACAACCGGCCCAAGATCTAGAATGTCTATATAGCCGACCTCATTCTTATCCACGATTACAACAAAAGTTTTCTTAGTTATAAAGCTCATGCATGATCATGATCATTTGGATTATAGTCCATGACCATATGCATCGTATTGCATTTATAAACATATATTCTGCCAAAACTTGATATTCAACGATTATCTATATGTCGCATTCAAAAACGAAGGGACATGAAGGAACCCTTTTAAAGTGAATTTAAAATTTAAAATTTGAAAGATACATTAAATATACATTATAATAACAATATACTGAATATATTTTCAAGAAGATTTTATTAGCATTTCTAAACGCGATCAATATATATACTTAAAAAACTTATTAATAATTCAGGAGGAAAACAGAAAGAAAAATCATAAGCGTGTCGTGGTTTTATATGTAATAACAAATCATGTTAATTTACATAAACTTTAGCTTTGATTTTCTCGGTTTGGACAAAGTTTATTTTAAAAATTACTTCGCCAATGAACTCGTATAAGATGAGTCGTTTTATATCTGATAAAACACTCCTACGCGTGCTTTAACACTTGATGAGAGTTTGCATACAATCAGCATTTTAACTTTAAGCTCTAGATTATATGTTCCCACTGCCTTTTAACTTATAAACAGAATACATGATGTTGGAAAAGCATTAAGAACAGCTAACCAAGATCGCTCTCATCCTCGTTTGATATCCATCTACAAAGAATGTCAAGACCCATCAACTATGCCAACAAACTCTCGGCGATATTTACCCATAACCTAAACATATGGCAGTAACCTATATATACATTATAAATTTGTGAATTGTGGTTAGAGCTCGACAACTCATGCCCTAGTGTAGCTCAGTTGGTTAGAGCGCTGCACCGAAATCTTAGGGCCGATTCCTGCCAGGGACCTATACGCCATATGGCGATTTATTGAAAAGATCCGAAGGACGAAACTTGTTTGAAATCGCCTTTTTAGTCTTATTTTAATTGTAGCTATATATATGGTGTAGAAGGCTGACAATAATAAATGTTTTATAATATCGATGAGTTTAAGTAAAGCTTAATTTCCTGGCTGCAACGACAGATATATCTGAAGACCTGTAGTTGCATTTTTTGCAGCTGTTCCTGGTATAGGTCTGTTAAATGTACAGGGTGTCTAAAAAAAACGCTACGGAAATTAAACAGGCTGTCGTGCATCATAAACGTGGCTAAACAATTTAATTTTTACATAGGATGAAAGAACAGTTATTTAGCTTTTCAATAATACTCTTTTTAAGTCGTAACGATGAGAAATGGCCACATACTCGTCAAATAAAAATTGCCGGTCGAAATCACATTCTTCCACCGTTGGGAATTGCATCGAAAACGAAACATAAACAATTCCCAGGAGGGAATTAAAATTGAATGTTAAATTATCTAAAATAAGCTCAACTCGTCAATCTTCGTCTTAGTGAGGCAATAATTCAATACAAATTTGGTACGAAACATGGTTCAATTAACCCCTGAACAAAGAACATTCGTTATCAAACCGTTTTATGAAACAAACAGCTTGCAGCAGGCTCGCGTTGCTTTTGGATTGACTAACTTTGCATAATTAATTATTTTCAATTCCCAACGGTGGAAGAATGTGATTTCGGCCGGCAATTTTTATTTGACGAGTATGTAGCCATTTCTCATCGTTACGATTTCAAAAAGGTGTCATAGAAAAGCTAAATAACAGGTCTTTCTTCCTATGTAAAAATCGAACTGTTTAGCTATACGTTTATGATGCACAACAGCCTGTTGAATTTCCGTAGCGTTTTTTTTTAGATACCCTGTATATATATTTCCACTTGATAATTTCCATCTACAACACTCTTCATTCTTCAACCATTATTGAATCGAGTCGGAGATGCCAACAAAATCTCGATATTTACAAAATACGCCAGTTTATAGCTAATAGCCATATTCCACTGGATCTTTTAATGCCTATAATTGCATATATACAATAACAATAAAATCATTGAGTCTTGACTAAATGTAATTTAAACATATGATTGGTAATATTGTCGACCATCGGCTTCAGAGTTGAGTACAAAATTAAGGCAATAATAATAATAATAAGGTATATATATATATAGCTACTGTATTACTGTAAGTCCTTTGTATATACTAACTAGCCTAATTGTCGTCCTAGTACGGTTACACAGCTAGTGTCAATTCAAATATCTAACAATATGTATAGAAACTAAAAAGTTTTAAACTATATCTACATATACAATGTTGTTATATTATAGATACATATATAGTCACAAGAATCCGTCTGTATTTATGAGAATCTGTGTGTATTTCCCGCTCCGCTGTTATATCATGTTTTAACTTAGTTCAAAATTTTCCTCCACCTTATCGAGAAATGAGTTACCATGCAAGGCAACAAGTTTAGACGATGGTTTAACGAGTCTTGAAATTCGAAATCACTTTCGCCAGATAAATTGCGACTGCATGAGTAAATTACATATGCAACTGACTCAAGAACTATATAAAAGCTTCCTTGTTTATAATTATATCAATATACGAGATATGTTTCTTCGAAAACACCAAATAATGAAAATACAAAATACACTTACTGGTATTAAACGGCGTTTAACTCTTACTTAAATCAACAACTTCAGATAATCTGAGCACGCCAAGTTAATAAGCCTATATGCTATAGGCTTTTATTTTTTCTTAACGACACAAAGGCTGGTGATTAAATCCGTATAATTTTTGCATGTACAATGTGATTGGTCAATAGAGTGTAAATTGACCTGTTCATTCTCAACAAGCATGCATGTCATTTATCGCTTCTCTGCATATATTAAACCACCATCGGCAAACTGTTTGTCAGGTTGAGCTCGGTTTTCTGTGCTGCCTTTATGGCATAATTGTGGCTTATGTGCCCGGTTGTTAGCACATAGCAGCTTTTTAATTAACAAGGAAAATTATTAATTAATAACTATATAACATTTAGCACAGAAAAGGTGGGGGTATTCCTTTCTGCCTCTTCACTTGACATATTGAGCATAACCTTGCAAGGTTAGCTGTTCTTAATGTTTCCTCAATACTATATCATGTCTTTTATTTAAGTTAAAACATGCTGTTGGAAGCGGTGACGAAGCTGCGCAATGACAACTGAGAAACCTGCGTTTTAATTAAACAGGTTAAAGACAATACTTTTCGAAAGATTTGAATAAATGTGAATCATTAAAATCTCGCACAGCACGACCTGTTGCTATGGCTGGCGTCGTCGCAAATTTCTTCCCCGTAGACAGTCGGACTCCTCATAGACTTGCTCCAAGTCTCTCTTGATCATTGTCATATAGTATCGATCCACTATAATGTACATTACATGACATAGCACGGAGAGGCGGAATGAGAGAGACGTAGACTTGTCGAAACTTCGGAAAATCTCGGTTCAAAACTGAACCGAAAATGCAAGACTTGCTTTAATTGTTTTCTCTCAGTGGTTATATATATGTATTGATCTAGCACAGTGTAAATAAAAACGAGTTATAGTAAATAATACAGAAAGAAATTGAAGGAAATCAATTAAAGCAAGTCTTGCATTTTCGGTTCAGTTTTGACTTTTGAACCGAGATTTTCCGAAGTTGACAAGTCTCTCGTTTCGCCCCTCCGTATTACGTCATGTAATGTACACTATAGTAGATCGATACTATATGACAATGAAAGAGAGACTTGGAGCAAGTCTAGACTCCTCCGTGACAGTCAGACGCAATTACAAATTGAGCATGCGCAGTGTTTAACCGGATACCATGTTTTTATGGTAACCGGTTTGGATTTTGCCAGGGCCCCTCGTCGCTGACCGCGCGTAAGAAGGGCTCTGGGTACGAGAATGAGTCGGACGCATCTTTGCTTCGTGTCCAGGCCTCCGCGCGTTATCGATCGATCCCTTCGTAACCCACTGGCATGGTACACCATATATCCATCACTCAACATTGTTCTTTGTCGACCACATGTAGAAAGATGGACGATTTGCTTCGCGATGTCATAGCGAATCTACGAATTTCTTTTTCTTGTTCCGAATACTCAAGAACTGTTATTGAAATACTGTATTTGTTTTAAATTTTCTAATTTTTATTTCTTTGAGTTTTGTCCCATGAGTACAAGACCTTGTGTTCTTACCCAACCATTAATATAATTCAAAGCAACTAGTGAGCTGTCAAATTTCTACAATACGTTATAGCTGCATGTAATTTGAATTTGACAGGGTTCAGTTCCTTTTATGCACGCTGTACAGGGTGTATAAAAAAAGGAGACCTTTAGAAATCAAGCATATTGTTAAAATTTGAATGCCTTTTCAATTGCACATATGCTGAACCGTGGTGCGTAAAATATTGACGGAGTGCACATATTAGAAAAAGGAGACCTTTGAATCCTGGAGCACTTCGCTAAGCCCACGAGTGCGTAACATGCGATCTACGTACAGTATGCATGGCAAATTGTTCCAAGGAGCACACAATCTTGTGTTTAAACGTTATTTTAATTTCTAAAGGTCTCCTTTTTCTAATACAGGGTGTCCCAAAAAAACGAAAACTATTGAAACAACGTATTGTTAGAATTTGAATGCCTCAGCACTCCGCTGAACCCACACGTGCATCAAAGCTTGACATAAGTAAATTGTATGCATAAAGAAACGTTTAGGAAGCTGCTTTAAATTCCCAAGAGCATTGCAGAAAATCGTGCGCTTTCCAAAGATATTTTAATTTCTTAATAAGTCAATATTTAATATATGCACCCTTGTCAATGTTTTACGCATCTTTGCGATCAACTTAGTGCTAGGGCAAGCGTGACCGATCAAAACTTGTGAACTTCTGCTCAACACAAAAACAATTGCAAAGCGAGTTTGTCAGACATGAAGTAGGGGAATTTATATAGTTCAAGTATTTAGTTCGAAATGTTCGCTTTAACGGAAACGTTATATTATCGAAATGAGATGAAATTACTGTGCATGTGAACAGAAAGGTCTGTGTTAATATACAGGGTGTATAAAAAAAAACGCAACCTCGGAATTTCCCAAGAAATCGACATTGTTTTAAAGACAAAAGATTTTAGGCGCCTGGGAATTTAAAATAGCACAACTGTCAAAATACTCTGCACACGCGAGTGCATAAAGCAAAATTTATGCATTTATTTAATGTACAACAACAGCAATATAATCTATTAGCAATTCGATTTCAATTCCCAGGGGCTTAAAATCTTTTATGCTTAAGAATTGCAAAGTGATTTCTTAGGAAATTCCGAGGTTGCGTTTTTTTTTATACACCCTGTATATCGTACTCATTTACTGTAACCGACCATGATATTCTTTTGTATATCAGTTTAAATTCTCATCCCCTTCGTCGCGTTTGAGCACTTCGGTTTTCGTTTTATTCACTCCATTTCTTGGTAATTTTGTCAAATTTCATACTAATAACTTTTTTGTGACTCATGTTTGTTTTATCTTCAATCTTAGGACAAAAATTTGACGAGAAAGTTGATGCAAAACGGCGACTGTTCGTATACCGTGTGATGAGTATGGCTGCCTTCATTCTAAACGTTAAAATACGTTCTTTATCGTTTTTTAAGCTGTCCCTACCTAACTGGAACTTATTATAGCACTGTTACAGGTAAACTACGTGAAGCGTTCCTCTTTTGACTT